CTGCTCTGAGGCCCCTGGCTGTCTGCCTGCCTGCTGGCCTTCCTGCCTGGCGGCGGGTTAAGCGGTTATCTTGGACTTGGAGGATGGAGCCATGCACAGAGTGGCCTGTGGGGTATGTGGAGAGAGCCTGGAGCTAGAGGCGCCTGGGACCCTGTCATCTGTTGGCTGGAAAGTAGTTAGGGTCCAGGTAGTTGTAGCCTGTGCTCTGCGGCAGGCAGTAGTCCCTGTCCAGAAAGGTGTCCGTCTGGTGCACCGGTTCCAAGTGGTGGTTAGGTTTGTGGGTTTCTGTCTTGAACAAGCTGGAAGACGAGCAGGGAAAAACAGGAAAGAGTTGTCAGTGTGAGGAGCCGCTGTCCTGGCAGATTAACAATCCTGCAGTAACGTGGTAAATGTCAGAAAGAGCAGCTAAACTATTTCACTTCCAAATAAACACCTGCTGCAGTACCGTGTTTTATTATCTATAACCCTTCAGAAGATATCACAGAGCACATGTTGGATCCATTCATTTTTTAATGATTCTTTATCAGCTAAAAAAAAAAATGCTGGTGTCGCAGCACTGCTGCTTCACCACATAAGTGAAAGTGATGAGGATTATTTCTGACTCTTCAGACACTGTTTGGCAAAATACAAAGCTAACAAATATGTTACATCTCCTCTGTTTCTAATTAGCAAACAGCAGTGTTTCAGGCAGCAGCTTTACCAGTTAAAATGATAAATGTCACTGGCAGCAGGTCATATCAGCTGTTGCTAATTAATGTTAGCGACAGCTGATATGACGGGCCAAAATTAAACATGTGTGTTGTCTGGTTAAAGTGCTGTCTCGTTAGTGAGTGAAGAACCTCCACACAATCACGAGTAGGCTGAACTTTCCTGTGGTTAAAGCTTCATATGATAAAAACATCTTATACAGATATTGCAGCTGTGATATGATTCACGATTAGTGCGGAAATGATGCACCACCAATTTAATTTTCACTAAAAAAATATTAAAATCATGACGTTAAATTTTTGGTGTTTGTACCAAACAAATGTGTTTTCTTAAATCTAGAGAACAATGCACACAAACTAAAGTACAGCTTCTGCAATTTGGATATTGCACTTGTGATTGTTGTTGATAATATTTCAATTAATTGTGCAGCTGTAGTTTCAACAACTCCAACATAGTGAGACGTCTTTGACTGCATCACGTCAGTTTCAGGAGTCACAGTCTAACGTTTAAACTTTCCATATCAGATCAATACTTTTAGATTACCAACTGAATATTTCTGAATATTCAGTATTTAGATAAAGTGCACCAAATGTAGTCGCTTCAGCTGTTTTTCAATACTTAATCAATATTTAGGTAAATATTGTATCCGATCAGACTCTGTATTAAAAAGGACTCAGATCAGGATCTGGGCCAAAAAAAGAAACTTGATCAAAACATACCGAGTGATACGTTTATGGAAAGTCTATTAAAAACTGTTTATGTATACAAAAGAAATGTCTACTTTTGGTTAATGCAGTAAATTTAACACCTGACAAATAAAGGTTCATCACCACATACTCACACAACTCATAAAACTCAAAAATCCCCCACTGCCATAAAGCAATTTTGATACTACAGTATGAAACTATGAAAAAAACTAATGACTATTATCTTATGATGATTATGATATCAACATTTCATCCATCCCCAACTACCAGTTCTGTATGTGGGAGATTTATTCCCGTGAGAGAGGTGGAAGAGCTCACCAGTCGGAGCAGTTGGAGCAGAAATCGACTGAGTTGTCCTGCGGACAGTCCTGACAGTGCCACCTCACTCCCTGGATGGGCTCCATGCCGCAGACGTCACACTGCACAAAAACAAACACACACAGAGATAACATCTTAAGAACACAATTTGGGAGCAGTTTTTAAACTATTAAATGCTGATGAAATCTGTCTTTGATGGACTGCTTATTACAGTCATCAACAAACACTGATTTCTTTGGGACAATACCATTAGAAAGTGTAAGGATCAGATGAGGTTATACTACAGTAACACTCTAAAGTATAGTAATAATGTCAAATCAAGCTGCAAATCCAAGCCTGAAAGTGCCACAAATAAAAATAAAATATGCATTTTCAAAGATTTAGTTGTTTTTATTTTGAAGCTGTAGCCAGAGGCAACTGTTTTCATACTATTTCACATCCTCCTCTATTTTTGTTGCATGCTGCTTTGTGGGATAACGGCCTATAA